TGCCGAGTGGGGCAGAGGGACCACACCACCCCCAGACAGTGTCTGTATTCCCTATCACTGTCCTTCTGTCTGTCCTAGATGGGGGAGAAGGTGGTGGGAGTGCCATGCTGTGGCGGGAGTCCCAGGGCTCACTCAACTCCTCTGCCAGCCTGGACCTGGGCTTCCTGTCTTCAGGAAGCACGGCCCCAAGCCCCTGGACAGAGGTGAGTTGTCCCCATGCCGGCCCCACGGCATCACGCTGCCACCGGCTGGGCTCATCGCGCCGCATCGCTCCTGCAGGGCCATCGGAAGAGTCTGGGCGGCAGTGAGGCAGAGCTGCCAGCCAAGCCCATGAAGTACTGCTGTGTGTACCTGCCTGATGGCACGGCCTCGCTGGCCTCCATCCGGCCTGGCCACTCCATCCGTGACATGCTGGCGGGGATTTGTGAGAAACGTGGCTTCAGCCTCCCCGACATCAAGGTCTACCTGGTGGGGAATGAGCAGGTAGGAGGGGCAGAGAGGAATGTTGCCTCCAGGCTGGGACCACGGGCTGTTTTGCTTGCTCTCTCCTTATGGTTTGGCTTTTGCAGAAAGCGCTGGTGCTGGACCAGGAGTGCTCCGTATTGGCAGACCAGGAAGTGAAGCTGGAGAACAGGATAAGCTTTGAGTGAGTGGGAGCTTTGGGGCTGATGCTGTTTCTCATACGTCTGGTCCACATCATGTGCAGCCATGCACTGTGACCCACACCCAACTGCCCCCAGGCAGTCCCAAACCCCTTGCTCTGCCCCTGCCTGTCTGTGTTTGCCTCCAGGCAGCCTCTTCTCCCCCATCCACAGCCTGGAAATCTCCTCCCTCAAGAAGACCATCCGCATCACAGCAAAGTCAACCAAGCGCATCCGGGAAGCTCTGCAGCCTGTGCTGGGGAAGTACGGTGTGAGCGTGGAGCTGGTGCTGCTGCGGAGGGTGAGCACTCACCCAGCCTCCTGCAGACAGGATCCCGGGGGGGGAAACAGGTCTGGGGCTTGGGCCAGGGGCTGTTGAGGAGCAGTGGTCTGTACTGCAGGCACATGGAGGGATGCCAATGTTTTAGATGGGCCATGGCACCACATCCACTGTGAGCTTGAGAGGGGGACCCATGGGTGTGCTCTGCACTGTCCAGCCCATGACCCAGCAGGGTCTGGCTGGGGAGCTCACAGGTTCTTCAGCCTGGCTGCCTTTGCCATGCCACAGCGAGTGTGACACTTGCTGGTCCTTCACATTGCAGCAAGGTGAGCTGGCTGCCCTGGACCTCGAGATGCTGGTCAGCACAGTGGCTGCTCAGAAACTTGTCCTGGAAACGCCAGCAGGTAAAGTGTCCTCCTCCAAGCCATGTTCCACCACAGAGCACTCACAGGGCCAGGCTGCTTTCTGCTGGCCATAGCTCCTGCTCCGTGGGATGGGCTTTATCCCGTCACAGTCTGGGCCAGGATTGGGGTACTGGCATGAGACACTGAGCATCACTTATCTTGCAGACATGCGAGTGACAGGGAGTGCTGCGGCTGCCCCATCCCCACTCAGGAGTGAGGTGAGCTCAAATCCCACTGCCCTGCTCAGGGATGCCCCAAGGCTGCTGCCATGGTCCATGGGGAACATATGTCCTGCTGCAACACTGGCACATAGCACAGGGCTGGACAGAGGGCAAGAAGGGGGGAGCCAGGCTGTGGGAGGGTGATGGGGATGTGGCAGTGCTGCCTCCTTGCCCCATGGGTGAAGCCTGGGCTGCTCATCACAGGAGGGAAGCCCAACAGGAGAAGAGCCTGATACACTGTGGGAGATGTCTTCCTCCTTCTCTCGGGCCCATTCTTCTGCTGCCACAAACCTGAACCGCCGCACCTATGACCTGGAAGGTGAGAGCTGGTGTGTCTGAAACCTGAGGGGCTGGCACAAAACATGGGGTGAGAGACTCAGGGCCCCCAGTCTGCTGGGGGTGGATGCAGTGTCCTGTGAAGCTGGGCATGAGCTGTGAGGGCCCCAGGGTTCCCTGGTATGCTGGGGATATGCATGGGTGCTGGCATGGAGCAGGGACAAGGTGTGGGTGCTGTACCTGTGACATGTTCAGGGTCACATCAGTTGGTGAGGGCAGCTGTTAGCACAAGAGCCCAAGTGCCAGGCACACAACCTCCATTCCCCCAGGGCTCGTGGAGCTGCTGAACCGTGCCCAGAGCTGCCGGGCCAACGACCAACGTGGGCTGCTCTCCAAGGAGGACCTGGTCTTGCCTGACTTCCTCCAGCTCCCTGAGCAGGACAGCAGCGCCTGCGAGGGGCCGGATCGCCCGGGCTCTGAGGGGAGCAGCCATCCCCAGCCCGCAGAACCCATTCCAGTTCAGCCTCCAGTTGACCACGAGCTCCGATGAGTTCTGCTGCACGTCTGCACCGGTGCGTGGTGCCCTCGGGCCATGCCGGGGTTCAACATGGGCTCAACCAGCCCCTGCCCTGCACTGCCAACACTGCCCGGACCACAGATCCTCCACGTCCTGCCCCAAACTGTCGTGTCGTGTCACTGTGAGTGGTTGAGCAGCTGCCATTGCCCCTCAGTGGGTCACATCCTGGTGCACGTTAAGGGTGTCCTGTACATAGTTTGAACCCTCGTTGCAAAGCACTTTGCAACATCTCACGTGCCTGGCACTGTCCTACCCAGTGCCTGTGGCAGAGCTGCCCGCCCAGCAAATCCTGCCTGTGCTGGGCTGGCAGAGCCCCACTGACTGTTTGGGTAGGGAAAGCACCCTTCTAACCAAAAGGTGTTCAGGATAGAAAGGGTGGGGTGGCAGCCCCAACCCTAGTGCTGTGGGCAGGCAGGGTCAGAAGTGTCCAGAGCTGCGGGCTGGATCTGGTCCCTGACCCTGCAGGAATAGGGATTCCCCATAGTTGGAGTGCATGGTCCTGCAGGCCCTGCAGAGCAGGTTGTTACTGTCCACACTGTGTGAGTATGGCTGGGCCTGATAATGCCATGACAGCACTGCTGTGGAGCAGGGTGCCTGGTTCCTGCGCCACACAGACCACAGGTCGTGCCAAAGGAGCCTTTCTCCCCCCTGCAGAGAGACCCTGTGGCTCCTGGGTGTCTGCTGAAGCAACCCACAGGAGCAGATCCCAGTAGGTCCCCTGCCCCAGCCTGGTCAGGACTGGAGGTGTTCAGCTCTCTAATGCCAGAGGAATGCAGCATCCCTGGGTGCTGAGCATCTCAGCCTGTGTGCAGGTACCCAGCGTGTGCCCAGCCTGCCATCTCTGCCAGCGGCTGGGCTGGGCTGTAACCTTGAGCCCAGCTCTGCCAGACCTGGCTGTGCTCTACAGGTCCCCATCCCCAGCAGCCCCATGTCCCCAGAGGTCCCAGGTCCAGTCTGTGATGGAAGCATTCCCCCCAACAGCCAAGTGATCCCTCCATTGTCCTCACATGCTGGGGCCCTGCTTGGCTGTGCCCTGGGGTCACCGCTCTGCCACCACTGCCCGGCAAGAGACAGAGGGTGACCCAAGGTAGCCCTGTAGCTCACGCAGGGACAAGGGCCATGGCCACCCAGCCCCACACTGCCGTGGCCAGCTGCAGCCCTGCAGCCCTGTTCACAGCCCTCTGTGTCTGTGGTGCTGCTCAGTCCTGTCTGTCCTGTGAAACCAGGGGAAATAAAAAGCATTGCCTTGACGTGCATTCCTCTCCTTCCTCCACCACTGAAGCCAGACGGTACTTTTCCGGGCAGTAATGTCCCTCCAGCCTTCCCATACCCCGCAGAGCCACCCCAGGGCCAGGGCAGGGCTGGAGTCAGCCCTCGGCTCTAGTGCCACCCTGCCCTGCAGCAAGGAGCGGTGCCAGGAGCTTGTTTTCCCAGCACTGCTGATGGTGTAGGGGAAGCTGTGGGGCCGGCATGGCCAAGGACTTCAGCCCTGACCCTGTCAATGAGTGACAGCCAGAGCTGCCAGGGCCTCACTGCGTTAATGATTGTGTGGCAGCCAGCCAAGAGCCCCCGGGCACAGGGCAAGTGCGGACACTGTCCTCCAGCCCACTGCAGCCTGGCACAGGGCTCTGTGGGTGCCACTGGCTGCGCCCCATGAACAAACAGGTCCCCAACCCTCTGCCTCTGCTGTGTACCCTGCTGTGGCACCTCCCTGGCGTTTGGCTCCATTGGTTTGTGACCTGGTGGAGGCTCAGTGATGGTCCAGCAGTGGCAGGAGCACCCTGGGGTACCCAAGGGACCTCCACTTGCTCTCCCCATACAATTGCAGCTGGCTTGTCTGTGGTGATGGGTCCTGGGAGTGCCCAGTGATGGAGGCATGAGGATGTGGTGATTGTGTGGACTCTCTATGCCCACTCCCCGCAGTCACTGGGCCGGAGGAGCCTTTGGCCCTTGGCTCTCCCCGGGCAGACGTGGACAGGAGCTGACTGAGCACCCTGTGGGTGGATGGAAACTTGGCTAGAGGTGCGTAAACAGCAGGTAATGATAAACATCATCGAGGAGGTGGTGACAGCAGCGCTGGCGTCGCTCCCCTCCTGCCCACCCTATCACACATGCTGGGAAAACGCAGTCTCTGCCTCATGCAGCCCTCACAGTGCTGCAGGTTGTTCTACACCGAGCTGCTGGCATGGGTTGAGACAGGCCATGTGGCACCATCACCAGCAGCGACAGGGCACAAGGATCACACTGATGCTGATGTAACCCACCACCAATGCCCAGGCAGCGAGGACTACACGTCCTGTGCAGAACTGATACTCAGATGGTTCCAAGGAAGGTGGATGTATGTGTGGCCTCTCCTCCAGTTTGGGACACTTTGACAGCACCAGCACTGAGCCCTCCTCCTCTGGTGCAGGGCATGAAGAACCCAGCACCAAGTGATGGAGAGCTGAGGCTGCTCTAGCATTGCCTCTCAGGCACTGGGCTCCAGCTCTGCCTTGTCTGACCTCCTACCACTGGCTGCCACTTGCTCAAGGCCGATGCTGAGCCTCAGGCAGGGAGAGGTGCACCGGTACCCGGTGCCATGTGCCCTATCCCACCGCAGTGCTGCAGCTGATGGGGATGCTGTGGGGTTACCCATTAACTGCAGGAATTTCTGGGGAGGAGGTGAGCGGCGAGCAGAGGCGAGGGGCAATGCAGGCTCCTTAGACTTTGCTCTTGGCATGAGTATAAAGGGCTGTGGTGTTTCGCAGGCTACTTCGCTGGAGAGACATGTGGATGTGGCATGTGGACACAGTGCTGCCCTGAGTGCCAGGCCAGCCTCAGGTGAGCAGGCCACTGGGCAGGAGTGGTCCCCTCCCCATGTCTCCTGCCTGCCTTTGCAGGAGCTCACTGGGCTGGCACGGTGGTGACTGGTGGGCCAGGGGACCACTGGGTGATGGGATGGTGCTCCTCGGTGGTGCCGGCACTGCAGGGATTGGGGAGGCTTGTGGTGGTCATTGCAGCACAGCTGTGCTGACACGTGGCTGCCTCTGCTCAGCCTCAGCAGGAGCGATGCTGCCGTACCACAGGGAGAGCCCGGTGCTGCCTCGCTGCCCGGTGCGGGCAGGAAGGGTGATGCACGGGCCCCAGTTCGCATACTGCCCCAGCCCCCAAGGTAGGTGCCCCCAGTCTCCTCCTCCTCCTCCTCCTCTTCCTCACCCCGCTGTGCTCAGCTCTGCTTCTGGCCAGATCCTGGCCCAGGCAGTTCCCGGCTCTCCTCTACAGGAGGATGGGGCTGTAACACGGTTGTCCCCTCTCCCCAGCCCTGCACCGGCTGCCGGGTGCCCACTCCTGCCCCTTCACTGTGGGAGCGGTGCCTTGCCCTGACCATGGCTTCCTCTGTCCCGGCTCCCCGGGGCGCCTGCGCGAGGGCCGGGAGCGGTACGAGCTGGACACGCTGCCCTGGCAGGGGCCCCGGCTTGGTCTGGATGAGCTGCAGAAGCCAGGTGAGACCCCGGGCACACAGCACCCAGGTTGGGGAACACCACAGAGACCTGCCAGAGGGAGGCAGGGGGTACAAGGTACTCAAGGGTGGGAGGAGATGGATGGGACCCAGGGAGTGGTGGCATGGCTGGGGACACGAGCCCCATCCTGCCATGGGAGGATGGTGTAGGGCTGCGAGAGCCCAGGGAGCCAGGGCTGCGCCACAACCAGTGTTTAACACTTTCTCTTGTCTTGTGCAGAGCTGGGGTACTGGGCCAGGGTCCAGTCCATCTGTGTCTCCCTTCTCAAGGTGCCCCTGATGTTCGGGTTCCTGTACCTCTTCGTGTGCTCCCTGGATGTTCTCAGCTCTGCCTTCCAGCTGGCTGGAGGTAGGGTGGTGGGGGTGCCTGGGTGCCTGGCATCCACCGTGCCAGCATGCTGCTGCTCATGCTCCTTGCAGGCAAGGTGGCAGGAGACATCTTCAAGGACAACGCCATCCTCTCCAACCCCGTGGCTGGGCTGGTGGTGGGCATCCTGGTGACTGTGCTGGTGCAGAGCTCCTCCACCTCCACCTCCATCATCGTCAGCATGGTCTCCTCAGGATGTGAGTGCACCCACAGGACTCCTGGGTTACCTGAGACTGGGAATAGGGTAGCTGGATGGGATCACCCTGAGCCAAGCCACATGGGGCTAACAGGTCTCTGTGTCCCCAGTGCTGGAGGTGCGCTCTGCAATCCCCATCATCATGGGCTCCAACATTGGCACCTCCGTCACCAACACCATTGTGGCCCTCATGCAGGCTGGTGACCGCAGTGAGTTCAAACGGTGAGAGCTGGTCAGGGCAGAGGGACTTGGGGGGCTGGGAGCTGCTCCCCAGGGGCCACCCTATGGTGATGGCTTCCTCTGCACAGGGCCTTTGCCGGTGCCACGGTGCACGACTGCTTCAACTGGCTGTCAGTGCTGGTGCTGCTGCCGCTGGAGGTGGCGACAGGGTACCTGCACCACGTCACTCGCCTGGTGGTGGCCACCTTCAACATCCGTAGTGGGAAGGATGCCCCTGATCTGCTGAAGATCATCACAGAGCCCTTCACCAAGCTCATCATCCAGGTCTCTTCAGCTGTGGCGTCCCCAGGGGTGGTGTTCCCAGGCTGGTGGATGTCCCTTTGACCGTGGTTGTACCCAAGCATCCCCAGGCCAACAGTGGTGCCCCCATCCCAGTGATGTCCCCAGGCTGCGGGTGCTGTCAGCCCCAAGGGCCCCCTCCAACCCATGTGTTGTTGCAGCTGGACAAGTCAGTGATCACCGGCATTGCAACGGGGGATGAGAGCCTGCGCAACCGGAGCCTCATCCGCATCTGGTGTGGTCCTGCACATGTGCAGGTGAGCAGCCCATGGCTCTGCTGGGGCCACTAAACCATCCCATGGAGCGTGGCAGGAGGGCAGGGGCTGAGGATTCTGTGGAGGCACTGCAAACACCCTCTCCCTGCAGACAGCTGCTGTGGAGCTTGCTCCCCCCCTGAACTGCACAGGCCCTGGCCACTGCAGCACCAAGGGCCTCGAGAGCCTCCAAAACATCACCAGGCAGAAGTGTGAGTGGGGCTTGGGCAGCACTGGGGAGCAGAGGTCATGAGGCTGGGGGGGTGCAGATGGGACTGGGGCTGGAGAGATGCTGGGCATGGGGCTGGAGCAGTGATGTGATGTAGGGCCAAGACATGTTGGGGCTGGGGTCCAGGTGTGGGGCTGTCCTGGAGGGCAGGTTTGTGAGCAGGGCCAGGCCGGCCCCAGCTCCTCTCCCAGCCATGCTGTGGGGCAGGTGAGCACCTCTTCACTGACACGCCGCTGCCTGACCTGGCCGTGGGGCTGGTGCTGCTGGCCGGGTCCCTTGTCGTGCTCTGCACATGCCTCATCCTCCTGGTCAAACTCCTCAACTCCCTGCTCAAGGGGCAAGTGGCTAAAGCCATCCAGAAGGTCATCAACACCGGTGAGTGCGATGGAACCCTGCCTGCCCCAGTCTCCATCCCTATCCCCGCCTTCCATCCCCACAGACCCCTCCCCATCACCATCCAGGAGCTACAGGCTGCTCCCAGCTGATGTGTCCATGTCTATGCTTGCGTCCATGCCCATGCCCATGTCATGGCAGACCTCCCGCACCCGCTCAGCTGGCTCACCGGGTACTTCGCCATGGTGGTGGGTGCTGGGATGACCTTTGTGGTGCAGAGCAGCTCTGTCTTCACCTCAGCCATCACACCCCTGATAGGTGAGTCCCAGCCATGCCTTGTCCCTGCCATGTGCTGCTCCCAGCCACAGTGGCCCATTGGTGCTAATTGGAGGGGTGAGAGGAGCTGTGCCTCTTTGTGAGACTGTGGGAATGGCACTGGTGAGGAGTGATGGGACGGGATGGGTGCCTGTCCCACAGGCCTAGGGGTGATCAGCATCGAGCGCGCCTACCCACTGACCCTGGGCTCCAACATTGGCACCACCACCACCGCCATCCTGGCTGCCCTGGCCAGCCCGGGGGACAAGCTGGCAAGCTCCTTCCAGGTACAGGCAACCCCGGAGGCATAGCTGGGCTGGCGGGGGGCACTGGGCAAAGCAGGGGCTGGGGGAAGCCCATGTGCCTGACCCCCTTGTGATGCCATCCCTGCAGATCGCCCTCTGCCACTTCTTCTTCAACATCTCCGGCATCCTGCTGTGGTACCCCCTGCCCTTCACCCGCCTGCCCATCCGCATGGCCAAGGCGCTGGGCGAGCGCACGGCCAAGTACCGCTGGTTTGCCGTGCTGTACCTCATCATCTGCTTCCTCCTGCTGCCCTCCCTCATCTTTGGCATCTCTATGGCGGGCTGGCGGGCACTGGTGGGGGTGGGCGCACCCTTCCTCAGCCTCCTGTTCTTCGTGGGGTTGGTGAATGTGCTGCAGGCACACAGCCCTGGCCGCCTGCCCAAATGCCTGCAGACCTGGGACTTCCTCCCCACCTGGATGCACTCATTGCAGCCCCTGGACCGGCTCATCACCAGGGCCACCCTCTGCTGCACCGACCGCTGCCGCAGCCCCGAGGGCTGGGAGGAGCGCGAGGGCCCTCCCCGGGACAAGGCCAGGCTGGGGCTGGACAACCCCATGCTCTCCTACCCCGAGGAGGTGCCCGGCTCCACCGTCCGGATGGGCTCCCCTCGCCCGCTCCCACACGGAGCCACCCGGCTCTAGCCGGCACCGCTGCTTCCATGGCTGCCCGGTTTCCTCCATCCCTTCTCAGCTGGTGTCTAATAAATGCTGAGCACCTGCGCCCTGCATGTGTGTCTCTGGCTCCTGCCTCTGCAAACCCTGTCAGAACCACAGTCAGAGCCACCGGTACCAGACACCCACCATGCACCCTCCTGTCCGTACACCACCCCTGCACAGCCCAGCCCTGCGTGGTGCCCAGCACACCACACGCTGCACCCATCACACTGCTGGTGCAATGGGGACACACACTGACAAAGCCACAACCGAACCCTGCACCTGCAGTTTGCAGCCAGATTGTACCAAAGTGTCATGGGCAGCATCTTCTCTCACCTGCCTCGTCCCCAGAGGGCTGAGATGGCCGGGTCTATGTCACACTATTATGTGCCACAGCAGCGTGTCAGTGGGATAAAGCTCCACACATGATGAGGCATGTGGGGCAGCTGGCGAAGGGCTGCCAGGCTGGGCATCAGCAGAATGTTGGCTCAGGACAGCCAGGCAGTACCCTTGGCTCACTGCGCACCCTGCTGCCTGTGGCAGGAGCCCACCCACCATGGTGAGCCCAGCAGAAGCCCTTTAAGTGTTGGCAATAATGGCGTCTCCCACTGCCTGCAGACGCTTGGGCTCCTGCCAGTGTTATTTATCAGCCTGTCCCTTCCTCCTTCCCGCCCGCCCTCCTCCCGGGCTGGGACCAGCCCAGCCAGCAGGGCTGCGGTGGGAGCTGCTTCGGGGCTCCCGGCGCCATCGCCTCGAGTGCATGGCCAGGTGACTACTGGACCAGGACGACCTCTCCTTGCCACCAGACCAGGTCAGTACTGGAGCGGTGTGGCCGGGACGGCCACAGAAGGACTCAGCGATGCTGGGGCTGTGGCACAAGATGCATCGGGGCTGGTGAGCAGGGCACCTGTGGTGGGGAACAGCCCCATGGGGCTTCATCCACCTGAGGGGCTGGGCCAGCATGGAGCCAGCCGATGCCCTCTCCAATGCCTCTGGTAATGGCAGCAGTGGCAACAGTGCCCCACACTCACCTGCAGCCATGGGGCTCATCCTGCTGGCCGCCCTGGCTGTCCTGCTGGCCACTGTGCTGGGCAACACGCTGGTGGTGGTGGCCATCTCCACCAGCCGTGCCCTGCGGGCCCCGCAGAACCTGTTCCTGCTGTCCCTGGCCTCAGCGGACATCCTTGTGGCCGTCCTCGTCCTGCCCTTCTCACTGGCCAACGAGCTGATGGGCTACTGGTATTTCGGGGGCCTGTGGTGCAGCCTGTACCTGGCGCTGGACGTGCTGCTCTGCACCTCCTCCATTGGGCACCTCTGCGCCATCAGCCTCGACCGCTACTGGGCCGTCACCCGCGCGGCCCGGCTGAACCTGCGCCGCAGCCCTGGGCGTGTGAAGGGGATGATCGGGGCGGTTTGGGCTGCGGCGGCCCTGGTGGCACTGCCACCGCTGCTGTGGGCCCGGCCGGGTGGTCGCGAGTGCCAGCTGAGCCAGGAGACATGGTACGTGCTGGCCTCCTGCACTGCATCCTTCTTCGGGCCCTGCCTCGTCATGGTCACCATGTACTGCCGCATCTATCGCCTGACCACCCGCAGGGCTGCAGCCCTCCTCGCCACCCGCTCCCTGCGCCTCGCTGCCGCCAGCAAGAAGGAGCCAGGGATGAGGATGTTGGGCTGGAGGCACCGGAACCAGCACCAGAGCGTGTTGCTGTGCCGCCGCCGGCTGATGCGGGTGCAGGAGCGGCGCTTCACCGTGGTGCTGGCTGTGGTGATGGGTGCCTTTGTGCTGTGCTGGTTCCCCTTCTTCTTCACCTACAGCCTGGGGGCTATCTGTGGGGATGGCTGCCACATCTCCAAGCCCCTCTTCAGCTTCTTCTTCTGGATCGGGTACTGCAACAGCAGCCTCAACCCCCTCATCTACACCCTCTTCAACCGGGACTTCCGAGCTGCCTTCCGACGGCTTCTCGCCATCCCCTGCCAGCACCGCACCTAGGGACACACCAGCACATTGGGGATGCAGCTCCCAGCCCTGCTTGCAGCTGGCAGTGCCCGGCCCCACCATGGACCCTGGACTGCAGCGCTGGGGAGCACCTCAAGGTACTTTGGAAACGAGGGTTTGAATAAAGCGAGGCCAAAGCCTGTGCCCAGGGCTGGCATCTGCCTCCCAGGAGCCCAGTGAGCAGGAGCCATCACCAGGCCTGCTGTCACCCATCTGTCCCCCTTGCAGCACGGGTGACCTGCCAGTGATGACAACTCACCATGGCAGCTCTGGGAAGCGCCAGCCCTCCCATTGCCAGGCAAACCCCAGTTCCTCTCCCCATCTCATGACACCCAGCATCCTCATGCAGGGGACAGACCCCAGGCTGCTGCAGGGATATGAAACCCCCCACATAGCAGTGTCACCAGTGCCAGGGTGAGCTGGCCATGCCACCGCAGCAGCCCAGTCCAAGACCTGTGCCACTCAGCCAAGGGCATCCCCTCTCGCTTCCCATCAGCATGTAGCTGTGCCATGCTGTGGGGGTTCTGTGGGTGGTATGAGGGGTGTGGGGCTGGGGTGGGACACCTCACATCCTGCTCAGGGGCTTCACTGGGATCTTGCTGCAGGAGGGAAAGGAGGAATGACATCACAGGCCTGGAAATGCCGTGTCCCTTGGGAGAGTGTGGAAGATGGCACAGCATGGGAACAAGCTCCGGCACAGCCTGAGTTGCAAGAGGCCACCAGGGGAACTACAGGGTGAAGACCCGGGGGCAACCACATCCCCCCAGGGGTGGCAGGGGCCCTGCACCCGCCCTGCCTTGCTCGCTGCCCTGTGCTGCGCCGACACCCAGGGGTCAGGAGCTGCTCCACTTCTCCAGCTTTATGCTCAAAATAGAAAACCTCCAAACATCGGACTTTCACTCATCTAAAAACAGCCACCGGCGCCTGGGAGATGAAGCCCCAGGAATGCCATTCCCCACCGTCCCCCATGTTCCCTGCTGGGGTGGGTGCAGCTGGTCAGAGGGTCTGGAAGGGACAGGGGTACTCGCAGAGGCAAGGATCCCATGGCCATCTCCTGCACTTGCTGGCCCTACACATGGAGGCTTGTGGCATGAATTTTGGGGTCAGTGGAAGCTCCCAGTGGAACGGTGCTGGGATGGGGGCCTTGCACTGATCCCCTGGATATGGCTGGTCCTGGTGGTTGGAGCCCCGCTGGCCCTGTCTGCGGAAGGAGCTGCCCTATCGCTGCTGCCTGGCTTCCCCTCTGTGGTCGCCTTTCTCCTTCTCATAATTAAACAGCAGTTTGCTTCTAAAAATACCCAGGGAGATGAGGGTGTCTGATGGGGACTTGGGCAGGGAGAGGAGCACTTGCCAAATGGGCACCAGCCCCATGGGCAGCACCCTGGGGAGTGTCTGGCTCCTGCACCCTGACCTCATCCTTGCACAGCACTACTGGGGCTGACACAGGGAGCAGGCACAAGTTCGTCCTTCTGGGCGTGGATACACAGCTCCAGGATGCTGGAGGGCAGGAAGAGACAGGGACCAGCTGGACTGAGGGCACCCAGGGACCCCTCTACTTGGGCAAGGAGTCACTGACACATTCAGCTTGTTCTGGCAACAGGGTGACATAAGAGCCACCAAAGGGAGCTTCAGGCTGATCTCTAACACATCAAATCCCATGGGCTGGACACAGTCTGGGAGCACCTGGTCCCCCACTTTGCCCGAGGGACTACCTCTGCCTGGAATTGCATCCTGCATTTTCAGCTGGTTCTTCAGTTTCTCAAGATTATTTTTACTTACTCCCCTGATTTAAGCCCTCTCCAGCAAGGTCCCCTCTGCACAGCTAAAAAGCAGAGTGCCAGTTCCACCATCTGGGCTGCCACCAGCTCTTATGGGGACACCAGGACCCCTCTGGACACTCATGCTGCTTCAGCAGCATTCCGTGGCCAACAACTCTTGCCATGGTGCTGCAAAACACCAGCTGGGAGGAAGCGGAAAGTAGCAACCTAAGGGTTAAGTGTGCAAATGCATGGGAACAAATTCATCACATTTGAAGCTCAAAATAAGTGTGTGCCACCTTTAAAAGGAAAGCAGCTCTGAAAAAAGAAAGCTCACGGTGTGAGCTCATCTCTCATGGCAGAGTGACACAGGAGATCACCTCCAAGGTATGCCAGGGCAAAGCATCCTCCTCCTTATTGCTGCGTTTTTATAAACAGAAGATGCAACACTTGATCTCCATTGGATGCTGAAGCGCATGGTGAACCACAGGCAGCACTGACTGCAGGGTCAATGAGTGCTTGGAGTAACTTGTGTTATTATCAGCCTCACTACAGCCTGAGGACATGATCTTCTCCCTCCTGATCACCAGCACAGCCTGTCTGAGCGGTGCTCAGAGGCCCACCAGCAGGTTGCCATTGACAGAGGCTGGTGAAGGGACTTGCCTGTCACCATGTGCTCCTCTGTGCCCTGGGTACCACAAACTTCACACCCGGGACAGCCCCACTGCCACCAGCCACACACAAGGTAGGAAGGAGGCGTCACCCATGGGCTGGAGCCAGTGATGGGAGCCATGGGAAGGCAGAGGTGGCATCTGCTCCTGAGAGCCAGAAGGAGCAGAAAGCAGGACAGGCACAACTTGCTAACGGGTAAGCGGATTGATGAGTGGCTTTACACAGAGGAGGAGCAGGGAGCGTGGGAGGTCACCTGCAGGGCCGACAGGTCATTAAGTTGAGTACATCATTGAGCTCTGCAGAGAAATCAATGACCTACTTGCCGGGGAGCAGCTGGGGAAGAGGTTCTCATGCTACAGCTCATTTTCAGATAGGATAAAGCTGCTGGCAATGGAAGTACAGTGAAAAAAGGGCTCTTAGAGGAAATCATTGGACAGAGGAAGCCTGTGGGACCAGCTGCACTCAGCCAGGAGCTCAATTACCAGGACAGCACATAAGCAGCCACTGGTATCAGCCAGCGGCACCCGGGGACGGGGAACCCCCAAACCTCCACAGCAGCGGTGAAAAAGGGGAGACCACAGCTCGTGTCACCATGGCACAGGGACCGGCCAACACCAGAGACACGGGTGCTCGAAGACTTTATTATTAAGGCCATCGCAAGCACAGGGCCAGGCCACAAAGAAGGGAAGGCGGGCCACCGAACCGCCGTGAGCAGCACCGCGGGACGCGGGACACGAGACACCTCGCACCGCAACAACCCCAACCCCAGCGCGGCACCGCCGACTAAGGAGAACCGAGCCCAGGGCTCCCGTACAAAGCCCCGCTCGGCCCCACCCCCTTACGGAACGCCCCTATCACGGCCCACGCTGCAGCAGAGTGGCAGCTCCACACCCAATCAGATGCAGAAGGAGGAGGGTCTCTTCCTCTGTTGCTCCTTATCCAATCCGTTCCCAGAGCGGTGGCTGAGTGACACGTCCCTCACCAATCAGCACCCGCTCCCTCTTCCCGGCAGAGCCTCGCCAATGGTTTCCTAATGACGCGCGCTTCTCTCTCCCCGCCCCGCCCTCTCAGACCTTCGCCCGCCCCGAAGCCAACAGGAGGGCAGCGGCTAGGCCGAGGGGGCCGGGCTTCCTGGGGGGATGGACCAATGGGAGCGCGGCGCGGGAGGAGCGTGGTCAGGCATTGGCTGGCCGGGCGGTGGTGGGCGGGGCGTGGCGCGGCAGCGGCGGTGTCGGGGGGAGCGGCGGTGGGGCGCGGGCCGAGCGGACGGGAGCGGCGCGGAGCCGGGCGGGAGGCGGTGGCGCCCCCGGGCCCATGGAGCTGGAGAACATCGTCGCCAACACCGTCCTCCTGAAGGCCCGCGAAGGTGAGCGGCTGTACCGGGCTGACGCCGGTGCCCGGACTTGGCAGTGGGGCCGCGGGGCGGGCAGCAGGCCCAGAGCAGTCCGTGCGCGGAGCGAGCGCGGCGCCCGGAAGATGCCGGCCGCTGGCCTGAGCCGTGAGCCCAGCGGTGTGGTTGTTAGAGCGGCGTCTGCTGCCCGGTGTGCGGCGGGCGAGCTGCAGGCTCCGGCCGCGTCTAGTCCCGGGACTAAGCCCCGGGCGGGCCCTGCCAGGGGTCGCGGCCTTGGCTGCCCCCGGCGCTCCTGGAAGCGGGGAGGTAACGGCGCGGGTCGGGCACGGGCCGCCTTAAAGCTCTCGGTTGTGAACGGGCCCCGGCGCTGGGCGCTGCTCCGGACAGCCGGCGGTGGCCCCGCGCCCCAAGCCGCGTTTCCTCCAGGGGTGCTGACCTCCCCCTGGGGAGGCCGCGCTGCAGCCCCGCTGGGCCCCTCCGTCCTGGCGGCTTCCTGCATTCTCTCTTCCCGAGGCTGCTCCTGCCCCTTGGCAGAGGGGAAACGCAGTTTTGGTGCCTTAGGAGAGGAAAGTTGATTTCAGGCTGGTGAGTGCCGCTTCCCACACAAGGGCCGATCCCGAAACTGCGGTGGGGAGCCCCACCCCACCGCCACCCTCACACCAGCCCCGGCCCCTGGTCTGTTCAGCACCACGAGCTTTGGGTTCACAGCCCTCCTGCTGATTCAGGGGTCCCGGCTGCATTCCAGGGCACGGGTGTGGGGTGCCCCCTGCCATCAGCGGGGCTGCTGTGAGCATCTGAGGAGCTGTGCAGAGAACCCTCAGGATAGCTTAAAGAGAGCACTGGGTCACACAAGAGTCTGGTCCTTTGCAGAGAACATCTGATGCAGCCAGGTGTCGGGGAGTTCATTAGATCACATAAAGTGGCCAGGAAACACAGTCCCTCCTGGCCCTTGGTGTGCAGCTGGCCAGACCAAGTCATTCTGGAGCCTGAGGGGCCTGCTGAAATCCAGTTAGAGGGCTTTGGAGATTAGATTTGTGGGAGCAAAGAACAACGAAATTAAATTTACATGGGCAGAAACATTTCTGAGCTGCTTGAAAATCAGGCTTAGTTGTAGGTACTCCAGGCTCAGTGACCATGACATTATGGCTCATAATGGCAAGGTTTGGTTCAAAACCAAACAGCAGCATTTGTGAATTCCAGACGTAAGACCCTGCTTCACATGGAGTGAGTGACCAGGAGACTGGCTCCTCTTGTTCCATCAGCAGAGTAGAGTTTGGTCACTGCTGCAGAGTGAGGTATAGGACGGCTGCTGCATCTCTTCCCAGTGCCTCTCCCATGGCAGGAGTTGGGCAGCTTGCTTGCAGGCAGATATGATCCATTGGCACACTCACACTGGCTGGTTCCTGGCCTGCAAGAGCTGCAGGTGATTGTGGTGCCTCTCCATGGTGGCTCTCACAGCTCACTGGGGTGAGCTCTGGCAGCCTGTGGGACTGGACAGAGCTGCTTTGCTGGCCAGGTCTGGCACCACTAGGTGCTTTCAGCTTTCTTGGGAGCCTTCTGGTCTGGTGTGGGAGTGTGGGGCTGAGATCACTCTGGACATGCTGAGGGATACTGAAAGCTGTCTTCGGTTGCTGCCATAGGATGACTATGGTCTGTGTTTCGTTCAAGCACTTCTAGGAAGGTTTTGCCTAGGGAAGGTGAAGGATCCTTTCCCCATTGTCCCCCTTGCCTGCTTGCCTCCTGCAGAGGGACAACAGGCCAGCTTTGAGATGTCACTAATCCCTGAAGCTCCCTTGTGGTGAGCTCTTGGTGGAGGCAGCCCACCCCTTGCCCCATCCCTAGATCGCAGGTGCTGGGAGGTTGGTGTGCAGGAGCCAAGTTCCCTTCTGGGCTGTTTGCTGTGGTGCTGGGAGGGACCATGCCAGAAGGGTGCTGGAGCCTCCTTTCAAAGCAAACAACTCAAGGAAATGCAAGCTGCCACTCCACATCCCACAGGAGCTCTGCCTTTCCTTGAGGACTCTCAGGGTGAGGATGGCTTCTCCTCCTGTGCCCTCCGTTAGTTGTCCCCCTCCGTTTCATTGCTGCAAACTGTGGCTGACAAGGTGTCTGTGCTGCTGGTTCCTTCCACCCCTGTTTACCCTTGAGTCACTTCCTTCCTGAGTTTGTACAATCATGCAGCCCAGCTGCTGGTGTGGGGCAGATGTAGCACAGTGACCCACAGCGTGCCAGGGGCTCAGACCTGAGGTTGGGCCTGCACAAGGACACCTTGTGTGTGATGGCCCCATCCCACCTGCCTGTCCAGCCAAGGCCTCCTGCAGTGCAGGGAGCTGGGGTGCCCATGGACTGTGTCTATTATCTGGGGCTGAATTGCATCCGCAGTGGAGGAAAATGTTATGAAAGTGTTTCCTAAGAGCTGATAAATGATGTCGTGTCCCCCCCCCCCCGATTTCAGAAGGCCTTTGGCCTAACTCTTTCAAGCAGGGTGATTTAACATATTTCCAAAGGGAGGTAGGAGAT